TCTTAAAATATATATATATATATATATATATAATTAAATTCTAAAAAAATATTATTTTATAAAATACATATATACTTCATTAATTTAAAACCTTTTAAGTGATGACTAAGAGTAAACATTTGAAAATTTAAAATTAAAAATTGGTAATATCATAACAATATAGAAAATAAAGATATATGTAAATATTATACATATAATAAAATAACACACTCCTTATGAGAAAAATCTTATATATTTACTCTGATCTTTGTTACTAAACTTTAAAAAAGAGAAAAATAAAAATAAAACAACTATATTAAGATTCAATATTATAATTTATATACTTTACTTTTTCTGTTTTAGTTTTGTGATACAATTTTTTATTATTATATAAACATGGTCTACATAATATTTAAAAATTAACAATAAAAAATCAATTTACATTCACAAAACTAAATATTATTTTAACATTATAAAATACAAATGAATTTAAATCTGAGTACAAATTATCTAAACTAGGTACCATTAAACTAACACTAATAAAACTGAAACATATTAACAACAAATGAATAATACAAAGACTAATGCTTAAGAAGTTAAATATTATAGAAACTATTTTAAAAAAAATTACGGTAAACAAAATTGTATGTATTCGATGAACTAAAAACATTTTTAAAAAAATAAAAAACATAATAAAAAAAAAACCCTTTCAATCACACAACAAACCCATCATAACATTTTTTTTCTAAATCAATTTTCAAGCATGACACATAGTTTATTAAAATTGCCCCTTTAACATCTCCAATATTCAATGAGGAATGATTATTCGAGGGAAAGTAAAAGCCCCTTAATAATTTGTTTTAGAAAAACAATAGCAGCAAGCACCAAATGAATTCTGAATCTTCAATATAGTAACAATCAAGCTCCATGACTAGTCAAGACATTGGGGTCACTGCCAAATTTTTTTCCGACGTAGTTCTAATTTATTTTAAAATATTTTAATGTGAGTTTACTAATGCTTATGCATCTAGTTGACATCTACATGATCAACATTTAACACCGTTAGTAAAATTTAGATAAAAATTCATATTAAAGAATTTTAAAATAAAAAAATAAAATAAAATAATTTTTTTTAATATTATAAGATACTAAATTAGATATCTAGCCATAATAATAATAATACTAATCATATAGCCCTTACTATATATTCCTTACTTTTCGTTCAACCTTCACCCAATCACTTGGTTAGTACAGAAACAAAGAACACACACAAGACAAGCACCCTCAAACCAACACCTTAGATCTTACAATGCTATCTCATTCTCAATCATGTGTTATGGTTATTGCAACATTACTTTTATTTGTTCTAGCACAAAGTGTGAATCCACTTTCAGAAGCTGACAAGATAAGCACTTTGCCGGGGCAGCCATCAGTGAAATTCCAGCAATATGCTGGTTACGTTACAGTGGATGAGAAGCAGAAGAGAGCCTTGTTTTACTACTTTGTTGAAGCTGAAGTTGAGCCAGCTTCAAAGCCACTAGTTCTATGGTTAAATGGAGGTATATGCTGTTATGCATGTGGAAAAAGTTTTTATTTTTATTTATTTTTATTTTGGAATCTGAATGAACCCTTTGGATTCTGTGGAAGAAGCAATTAAGATGCTTTGTGGGTTTTGAAGGGCCTGGCTGTTCTTCTGTTGGAGCTGGAGCTTTTGTTGAGCATGGACCTTTCAAACCAAGTGAAAATGGTCTTTTGAAAAATGAATATAGTTGGAACAAAGGTAATCCAACATCTCAGAAAATCTTGTATTTTTGGATTTGTTTGAATAATTTTTTTTATAAGCACTATAAAAAAAAATAAGAGTTAAAAATGAAACAACCTTTTCCATAAACAAAAATCAGCTTATTAACAAAATAATTTGTAATTTTTTTTGGAAAAATTATATGACAGACTTTACAAATTAGCTTATGTATAAGTTTTAATTTTATCATTTAGAGAAGCTTATTACATTTATTCTTCCTATTTTTTATTTTTTTCTAAAAATGCTTTTGAAGAAATTTATCTAAATGGATCCTTAGTTGGAGTATGATAACTAATCTTTGATGTTTAATCAAAATTTCTTTCTACTTTGGTTTCCTCCTTGTTGCAGAGGCAAATATGCTGTACTTGGAATCACCAGCTGGTGTTGGTTTCTCCTACTCTGCCAATAAATCTTTCTATGACTTTGTGAACGATGAAATAACAGGTTCTCCTCTTCTTCAAAATTTGTCCTAGTTTAGCTATTAATAAGTTGAATTGAATTGCTTAACAACTAACCATCTTTATAGTTTAGTTTTTGTTCAAATTATGATGTCATGTTTCTCAAAATCGTGGTTCCATGCTATACAGCAAGGGACAATCTTGTTTTCCTACAGCGTTGGTTCACTAAATTCCCAGAGTTCAAAAACAATGATTTCTTTATCACAGGGGAGAGCTATGCAGGTAGTATGTTTATGGTAAATTAAGATTCTATTTGGCTAAACTTCTTCTGAAACACTTTTAGGAAAGAAAAATAAGAAAAAATAAAATAAGTTTTTCTACAAATTACAATTAGGTTATACATAAACTAATTTTGTAAAAGTTTTCTTTTTACCTTTTCAGAAATCTTATTTTAACTCATTGGATAAGTTAATTTTAACATATTGATAAGCTTATTTTGATTTTTGTTTATATTTTTTTTCCTAGAAGTACTTCTTAATAAATTTATCCAAAAAGAACTTAACACTGTTTCATTTTGGAGCTGCTATAAGGTAATAATGAATACTAGTTTTCAGGTCATTATGTACCCCAGCTTGCCCAACTCATTGTTCAAACCAAGACCAAGTTCAATCTCAAGGGGATAGCAGTGAGTACAAAGATGAAATATTTTTAATAATTGAAACATAAGAAACATTTTGGCTAATTTGAACCGCACAACTTTTCTCATATGTTGATATTTGCAGATAGGGAATCCTCTTATGGAATTTAACACGGATTTTAATTCCAGAGCTGATTTTTATTGGTCCCATGGACTGATATCAGATTCAACTTATGAAATCTTCACTAAAGTATGCAACTATTCCCAAATTAGGAGACAATATCAAAGTGGGACAGTTACCCCCATTTGTGCAGGAGTAAATAGGCTAGTGTCAAAGGAAGTTAGCAGATATATTGATGCATATGATGTTACTCTTGATGTGTGTCTTTCATCAGCAGATCAACAGTCTTATGTGCTGAATCAACTGACTCAACTGGTATATCTTTCACCAATTCTCTATCCATCTTAAGGGTTTGTTTGGATAAACTTCTCCGAAAGCACTTCTAAGAGGAAAAATAAATAGGAAGGAAAAATGAAATAAACTTCTTCATAAGGCTCTCTCATATAACTTCTCCAAAACACTACAAATAAGATTATACATAAACTAGTTTTAACTTGAGAAATTTATTTTGTTTCTCTTTCATGTTTTCTTCCCAGAATGCTTCTAAAGAAATTCATCCTAACAGACCTAATTTTCTTTTGCTCAAGTTGTTTTCCTACTTATTTTATTTTGATTGCTTTCATCTCTTGTGCAGCAAGAGGGAGGGAACATAGATGTTTGTGTGGAAGATGAAACTATCACATATCTGAATAGGAAAGATGTGCAGGAAGCTCTCCATGCTAAGCTCGTAGGAATCACCACATGGTCAACTTGCAGCAGGTAAGTTCTGTTGCCTAAAATATGGTTAGGACAGGACCAAATACAGCATATGGATTCTATTTTTAAGGGAGAAGAGAAGAACCTGAGAGTAGCAGGAATGAATATGTTAAGATGGAAGTATGACTATACAAGAAATCACACAATGCATAATGCTTGTATACGGAAAGATATTGGTGTGGTACCAATTGAGAAAAATATGATAGAAAATCAGTTAAGGTGATTTAGATAGTCACTGAAAACACCAGTGACGAGAGTAAATTATATGGTTTTTAGCTCTATTAAAAAAGAGAAGAAAGAAACCAAAAAGGACACTAGAGAAAATTAAGAGGGATCTTGTGATGAAAAATATCTTATACTATAGCCTTTAATAGTTTAATGACATCGTGCGATCCATATAGTCGACCTCACCTGATGGGATAAGACTTTTGTTATAGTTGTTGTTGATACATTTCATAAATAGAACAGAACATAACATGAAATTAAAAATTAGTGCAGTCAAGTTCACTGAAAATAGTGGAATGAAAGAGAGGGATAAAACTTGCTAGATCAGGGTGATTGTTAATACAATAAATGTTCTCCTTTTCTCTGAGACTTGTAATGGGTAGCTACTAATACTTTCCCTTCTGTCAGTGTTGTCAAATATGACATGCAAAATCTAGAGATTCCAACCATTTCTATCCTGGGTGCAATTGCAAAGTCAGGTATCAGGGTTCTGGTATATAGGTAAGTTAGTTTCTTTGCCTTTTTTTTTTCTTTCTATCACCACCATATTAATTATGTATTTGCATTGCATTCATCCAGACAAACAACTTTAAGTAAGCAAAATAATTTCTCTTTATGCAGTGGAGATCAAGATTCAGTCATCCCATTGCTTGGGACAAGATCCCTGGTAAATGGATTAGCCAAGGACTTAGGACTGAACACAACAGTGTCCTATAGAGCCTGGTTTGAAGGAAGACAGGTTAAGACTTGAAATGCATTAAGATCATGAAAAGTTTGGAAAAATATTAGCCGCACTCTCTCTAACACTCTTTTGTTAATACTTTTTTATTGGTTGAAAATTACAAATTTTGATAAGCCTTGTCACTAAGTTAGAAGAGACTAATAATGAGATGGGAGATCCACAAAATTTGTGATTTTTATTAAATTTTACCCAATAAATAAATAAAGTGTTAGAAAGAGTGCTAATGCTAAAGACAGTACTGATATCATTCCTTGAAAGTTTCACTACATTTTAATGGCATGCCATTGAACTTAACTATTTATGGATACTTTTCAGGTGGCTGGTTGGACACAAGTATATGGAGACATTTTATCATTTGCCACCATAAGAGGAGCATCTCATGAAGCTCCATTTTCCCAACCAGAGAGATCACTGGAGCTACTAAAAGCATTTTTGGAAGGAAAGCCACTTCCAGAACCATTCTTTTAAATGAGTTAATAGATAATAGTGGTGTTCCTAGCACAATGAGAAGAAACTTAACTCATTCAAACCCCTCACATAAATGATTACTCCTATTGGATCACCTTTTAATTGTTATCAACTTTACTTCTAGCTTTCTGCATTTTGTTCTATCTTCACACCGAGTGAATGTTGACATTGGCAATATTTAGTTGACCAAAACAAGATGATCTTCCAAATGTACCTACAAATTTATTAGTTCTGCCTCGAACATTCACTGTGATTTGAATTTTTCAACCTTCTTAAAAATGGATGTATTGTCAGCTAATTTTATGCATGCTATGCCCAAATAAGTATTAGAGAGAGAGAGAGAGAAGATACGTGTACACAAAAAATAAAAATATATGCTACAACACACTTTTTAATTATATGCTGTTTATTAGTGGTTTAAATTTAGTGAAAACTATAAAATTGTGTCTTCTTAATATATAAACCTCAGTCATATGATTTTAAATAAATTTTAATTAATAAGAGTGTTTTAGCTTATTAAAAAATACGGTTTTAAAAAAATGCACTTAAAAAATACGTTACTACACTCTTACAAAATATAAATTGGAATTCACAGTATACATAGTGAAGGAGATAAATAACAGAAGAATTAAAGAGAAGGAAAAGAAATTATGATTTAACCAAGTATAAGATCCCTTTAAAACACTTGTACAAGAAAATTTTTATAAAAAAAATGAAATTATTTTTTTTATAAACTAAAATTAACTTTTGTATAAGTTAATTTATAAAAAAAATTCTCACACTAACTTCTTCAAAAAAAATATTTTTAACTTTTACATTAACTATTTTTTATTTGTTAAAAAACTATTTATTTTTCCTTCTTAATTTTTCTTCTATAGTTACTTTTAAAAAAAATTATCCAAACATACATAAAAGAAATCCATGCAATGTCAACTTGTTTAATATCTTTCTACAACAATAAAATGAAAAGATTTACAATAACTATAAGAATAAACACAGCCATATTTTCAAATATTTTGTTAGCACCAATGTGACAATAGCACGCTCAATTTATTTTATCGTGACATACATTATAAAATTCATAATTTTCAATAGACATATTTGTAACAAAAAAGAAAAAACTTTAGTAAACATGCCAATTAATTACTTTATATTATGAAGAGTATTCTTAGTCCTAACCTATAGTCAAAATATCTTTATTAATCAATATTTAATACTTTTCAAGACAGTCAATCTAACACATTTGCCCAATAATAACTAATTTTTTATTAGAAATATTATCCAGCCAAGTGTTTATTTAACATAAACGCATATCAGATCCCATTTTACACACTTGAATACACTTTACATATGAAATATTTTAACAAATTTCAATGTATCCTAACAAACTCTTTTCATTTTATGTCACACCCTACCCTTATAAAAAGGTTATTACTTAAAGGTATTCCAAGGTTCTCAACTTCTACTATACTATGCTGAATTACTTAAGCCTAAGAAGTTTAAATGTTTGTATACAGTCATCACCATCATCCTCAGCCAACAGTGTCCTCATTCTCTAGTTCACCTACATTTGACCTTCAGAACACTTTCAAACAATACAAAATTATTTTAAAATCAATTTTACCAACATTTCAAAAATTGCGCAGAACGTTGTGTCTGGTTAAATAAAAATAGCGTCCTCTAGTTTCACGGAATTGTTATTCATCATTGTTAGAGGGAAAAAAAAAAAAAAAAAAAAAAAGGGGTTTCCTCAATAACAACGTAGAAATGTATCAAAATTACAACAGCATGGAACTGCTCGAATGTGTTGTAACGCGTAACAATTAAATTGCTAAGGCCTGAATCCACCAAATAGTTAAAGATAACAAGAACAATTATAGAACATCAATCGTGCAGTGTCCCCAGTATATCATCATCTCTGAAAAGATGATACCTACAACAATAAAATTGAAGATATAAGTAACCACCAGATAGATTCTTATGCATGCTCAGTGAAAAGAAAGGATTACACATGAATAAAAAAACTTCACTATTATTACTGCAATAGGTGAAGTGACAAATTAAGGTCATTGCTAAACATTGTATTTCCATTTGTGCATTACATTAAAAAGAAGATAAGAGCAAATCTAATTCTCAGAACTTGATATTTCCATTTGTGCATTACATTAAAAAGAAAAAAAATTAACCACGACATTTTACATTACAATGAAAAAACAATATAAATTTTTTTTACAATCATAAAATGTCATATATAGTAAAATTGTTGACTTGCAAAATAATTACTTTAAAGGTTATATTTAAAGTGATTTGTATTTGATTGACATCATTAACAGTGTCTGATATATTCCATATTTTCTGTATGTCAAAGATTTCTGAAAAGAAAATACATAACTTGAGCACAAGATGTCCCCAATTTAAGATACTAGTACAATAGGTAACACATCAAAGACAATGAAAATTAAATTCTTAAATATTAAGACCGTGTATGAAAGTTAAATTCTTAATACTAAAATTATAAAGCCAAAATAAAAAATGTGCTCTTGCACCTTGCTACAAGTCATGGCACAGAGCAATAACTTGCAGCTTGTCAATGTTGGTTGAATTTATACCTTCAGGTTAAAATAGTCCTAAAGCTTCACCAAAGAGAGAATTGTTCTCAATTACATCAGTTGTAATAAAAAGGACCACCACTTCAAATTATTTCAACAACAATGATTCAGTGAATGAAAATGATAAAACGTTGCGTATAGGTATGTGTTCATTGATATCAGAGATTCAGAGTCATCGGCATCGGAGACAGAACTATATAGAAATGTAGCAAACTGAACAAGTAAATATACAAAAATATTCCAGATTTTGTTAGCTCCGCTTTGGTTCTCTATTGGAAATCCCTTATCAACCGATGATATGACAAAAATATAATATATAAGTGGTAAACAATCATTTTTTTTTACAATCTGATTTTGTAAAAGTTGAATTAAGCCCATAATCCACTTTTATGAGATTCTCTCCTACCATTTCTTCATTTACTAGTTCCTTAGTTCCGACCTTTATTCTATTTTTCCTCCCTCCCTCTTACAGACAAATATGACCCTTTCTTCCCACAAAACCCTCTATCTTACTTTAGTAGTTTTCAATAAATTCTAACCAATTAGAATGAGTGTGTTAGAGAGTGTGCTACTAGCACTCCTTGTGACTCTAATCCCCTACTGCACCCCCCTTTTCCTAAAGGATAAAACTTAGGTATAATTTTTTAGATGCAATTGATGTTGTTCCCTAATCAAAGTTAGAATTTTACTTCGGTAGTATACATAAATATATATTAATGAGGCTTGCATTAAATACAAGTGCATAATACCAAGGTAAAACTCCAACTCTAATATAAAAAAACACCATCCGCATCTAAAAAATTGTACCTAAGTTTTGTCCTTTCCTAAAATACAACTCAGTCATCATAGGGCACCAAACAGAAAAACTGTCAATATTCAAGTGATGTAATAAAAAAGAAAATTCTATGCTCATTACAAGTCCTTATAAATAATAATACTACAATTTTATGTCAAATTACACTTTAGGACCATTAACAAACAATTCCTGCTTATATTATTCCTTTTACCAAAAAAACAAAAATAAACATTTGACATTTTTATTAAACAAAATGCAGTACAAATAAGAAACATTTTTGTATTTTGAAAGGGGCATTGATCACATTAAAAACAGTGTTGAGCTACTGATAAAAATGATGAAAATAAAAGTATTGTAAGGGTTTCCTACGAAGTAATAGATGAAAGTGTATAAGAAACATATACTTACTCTTTGTCATTAAGCTTCACTTCAGTTCCTCCATACTCAGGTAAAAGGACCGTGTCACCTTCCTTTACAGTCACAGGAATTAGCTTCCCTTCCTTATCATGAACTCCAGGACCAACAGCAATAACTTTTCCAGAATTCAACTAAAGCAACAGATGTAAATTAATACCAGCTCGAAAGCAAGAATGTAACACAATCTTTTGTTTCAAAAATAAATTCCAGGTGTCAAAAAAATGCAACACTGATTGGGCCAAGAAAGTTGAATCAGGAAATCAAGTTCTTATAATTTTGGAACAGAAAACTGAAACAAGAAGAAAGCTGACAAGTATACAAAGTTCAAACAATCATTTCCCAAAGCTTGAAGGCCAAAGACAACAATAAAATAACTACGCAATTTTTCCCGGGTGCTCACTATTTATATTATAAGTTCAAGAATCAAATGTAAGTGTTTGAATTTGAACCAAAGCCATCAAATACATTAATTTTCTGCCTCAAAGTGGGATGCGAAATCTTAAGTTCTTGACTTTCGTTTCCCATAGTTATTCGTCTATTAATCCCACCAGTTATACAGCGATACAATCACACAATCAATCACCATAACAATACAACCCAAAATCAATCTTAACAAACACTTAGCTTTTGTCTCATAGTTTCATTTCATCATAGGCAGCATATTACAGGAATCCATTTCCAATGTCAAGGTAAACAGGAACACTAAGCTGAACTCAACAAATATCTGATGGGACCTAGAGAGACTATAGAGTACAAAACCATATCTATAGTAAATCCCTTTAACATTGTTACACAAAGGCTCCACTAACCACAAACGTAGTTGCTAATCTGGTCCAAATCAAATTAAGAATTGACATAACTTCCTTCAGCAAATCCAGCGAAAAATATACCACAGCATCAAAACAATCAAAAGCATGAAACTCAAACCCAAGGAATATTAAAAATCCATATAACATAGCGGAAAGTAACATTGTGACTGAAACCATGAAATGACGCAAGATGGAATTTTGAGAGAGAAAGCAAAAACCCAGAAGCAGGAAATGAAATGGGTATGAATGAATTAGGAGATTGAGCACCTTGGTGGACGATTCTGGTAAAAGAATCCCAGTGTTGGTTTTTGATGAAGGGATGATTTTCTCAACCAAAATACGGTTGAACAGAGGAACCAAACGCTTCGCCATTTGGAACACACACGACACGAAGGACGCTGCAGAGAAGTTTGAGGTTTATTTGCTTTGGCTTTTCACTTGTTAGGGTTTTAGAAGCAAAAGAAGGCTTAAACGTTCAATTAATTGTTTGAGGAGCTTCTAGAATCTTGAAAGAACACCGTTACACAAAATGCTTAGATGTCTGAAAGCTTCATGCGGTAAACAAATAAAAATAAATAAATAATTAGAATGCTTCGTAAAATACTTCTCCAGTTAGTCGCATTTCAGAAGAAAATGAAGATTCTTATATTTTAAAATTTTTTCAAATCATTAATTTTATTTTTCATCTTTGATTTTAATTATTATTAAATATTATAAAAATATGTATTTTCTCATGCTTTAAGAGAATTCCATAAATAAATACACCTTCTCATTTTTCTTACATTGCATTTAGAAACTAGTTGAATTAAAGAAGAAAAAAAAGTTACACGTGTAAGTTTTTACTTTTTTTTTTATCAAACCATAATGTGGTTTTAATTGATATTCAAACATATACTTAAATTCTCAAATTATTATTTATTAATTTTATTGATTAGTTTGTGATTAAAAGATTATGTAAAATTGTTTTATAATAGGCAATGTATAGTACGTCTTTTTTTTCTCTCAAATAATATATCATGATTTTGTTTTAAAAATTTAATAAATCAACTAAAATAACTACTTATATCGATATATATGATTCCTTTAAAAGTGCTTGGAATAAGGACTAGAGAAAATATTTTTTTAGGATAAAATACCTTTTTAGTTGTATAATTTCATTGACTTTATCTTTTAGTAGAGTTGACAAAATAGGCTCAAACCGGTGAGCCAACCCGGCCCACCACGAGTTCGAGCCGAGTTAAGTCAAAAAAAAATTACAAATTTCAGTACGGGCCAATTTTGAACCTGGCTCACCTGGGTTGAACTCGTGGTAAGCTCGGCTCACTAACCCGTAATTAAAAAAAAAGTAATAGATATTGGGCCAATGTGTAGATGCAACTCAACCCAACATGAGAATATGAGATAGGGTTTCAATTTCAACTTCATAAATCATAATAATTTCAATGCCTCTCACACCGCGCCGCACCATAGCTTCCACTGTCGTCGCACCATAGCTGCCACTGCCGCCGCACAATAGTTGCCACTGCCGCCGCACCACGCCACACAATAGCTGTCATCGCACCACAACTAACAAAGCACCACCGCGCGCCACCATGAGCCATCGCATGCACCGCGAGCCATCACGCGCACCGCAAGCCACCGCGAGCCACCGCACGCACCACAAGCCACCGTGAGCACCACGAGCCACAGCGCGTCACCGCCCCAAGCCACCTTGCACCTCGCAGATTAAGAGTTTCAGATTTTTAAAATAGGTTTGAGTTTTTTTAAAATTAGGTGAGCCAACCCGTTTAACCCACCAACCTGTGGTGGGCTGAGCCATGTTCAATTTTTTTGAGCTCACTAATAATTGATCGGGTTGGGTTGGCCCACCAAATGATCAACCCGTGATGGGCCAGGCCGGGTTACCCATTTTGACAGCTCTATCTTTTAGTCTATATAATTTAAAATAAACTCTTTTAGTCTCTATACTTACATTCTTTAATCCTTTTAGTTTTTGTCTTTAATTTTTTCATATAAGTGACATGAATTTATTAAATTCACGAAACAATGATGTGTCACTTAATGGTTTGTGAGAAAAAAATTAAAGAAAATGGGTGGTATTGTTGACCGTCAATATTTACTATGACTAAATGTGATTCAGATAACCGTTCAAACTATTGATAATTGTGTAGTAAACTATGAAGTGACATATCATCACAAAAAAAAATTAAATACATTATCGTGACATGGATATATTAAATCAACGTCACTCACATGAAAATGGCATTATAAAGAAATTAAAGATAAGGACTAAAAAATATTTTAAAAAAATGTTACTATAAGAGCTAAAAAATTAATTTAAGTTATAAAGATAAAAAGATAAAGTAAGTGAAATTATAAAAACTAAAATAGTATTTTAACCGATTCTTTTATCTCTTTCATTCAGTCACCATTATTATACAATTTTTTTATGAACAATGTGATATTGACTTAATGATGGCAAAATCTTGAAGAAAGATTGGTGAATTCCTTCAAGAGGTTGCTTCAAGCTTCATGAACCTTCCTTGATTTGATTTCACCATTCAAGTTGAAAGGAAACAAAGAGAGACGTTGGAGTATTTGAAGTAGGAAGCAAAAGATTGCTCACAATATGCCTAACCTAGAAGGATTCTAGGAACCCTATGAAACTAGATGAAAATGACTTCAAGCAGGAGAGGATTTGTATAAAAGGCTAAATGCTCTGTATATTAAGCTCAAAGTAATCACAATTGAGAGAGTAGATCTTGATTTATAGGCCAAGGGAAGGATGAATGTGAAGTTACAAAGTGACTAGGTGCATTGGCGTCAAAATTTGAATCCAAATAGAATTCAAATTCAAATTTTGGCTTGCCAATGGCATCACCATGTGCAACCACAAAATTAGGTTGCATTTAGGTTGGATTGGATGTCATTTGGTGCGAATCAAGTGTAGTCCACTATAGGCTAGCACATGTGCACTAAATACATTACAAATTAAACCTAAATGTGACCTAATTTTAACTAATTTTCTTATTTAACCTTTTTTCTTCAAAATCTAATATAATAGCCTAATTACAATGACCTACATATCCTAAATATCTAGAAATAATAAAAGAAGCAAAAATTCCTATATTGGATATCAAAAGACCTAAGGCCCATTAAGTCCAAAATAGGCCCAATAAGACCTATTATCCAAAAATCCTACTCTACTATGCCCAAAATACAAGGCCACAAATATGATACCTAATATATGGTAAGAAACTATATATAAGCATATGTATGGGAGATATTGAACTTTTAGTTAGTGACCCATAATCCAAGACAAGCCAAGACCCGCTAACTTAAAAATAGGTCCAATCCTCCTAAAGTCTTCATGATTAGTCCATTTCTCTTGAGTCTTTTAATGTGTGACCTTTTGTCTTCCTTGAAATGATTCCATCACTTAAGAACTATTTGTTTTAGGTTTTAAATAATTATTACATTTCACAAATTATTATATACAATAAATCTATTATTTTTTAAATAATTATTTAAAAAGTGACATTTAAATGATTTTTTAATTGATTAAAATTATAAAATTAAATTGATTAAAAGTATATAAATAACAATATACAAAATTAAATTAAAAATAATTTGCTTCTCCAAAAGTTTATTAAAAAAAATTGTGAATATTATATCATTAAGATATATTTTTCAAATATTATTTAAAGAGTTAATCACTTATACATTACCAGTGTAAAGTTTTTTTACACTGGCAACAAATTATATTCTTTAATTGTGTCATGTCATTATAAATACATTTACTTTTAACAGTGACATGACACAATTAAAAGATATAATTGATTGTCAGTGTATAGGTGATTAACTCTTATTTAAAACTACAAAACCTTTCTCATTTTATTTAATAGTAATAATAAGTAAAATAAATATTTTATACTAGTATATTGAATTATTTTATAGCGCAAAGAATATTTCATTCAATCACTGAGATTTTTATTTTATCGTCTATGTATGTCATGATAATCCAAATATAAAGAATATATCTTTGGATTTGTCAAAAATGCCAATAGTCTTTAAATAATCTCCAATACATATTATTTTTACTTATACATGTGTTTTTTTCAAAATATTTTTCTTTTCAAAAATTAAGTTCAAAATGTAGTAAAATAAAACCACACGATAGTATCTTTTCATATGCATGTCATTTTTCTTTTAATCCTTGCATTGATCTTTATAATCTGCAAATGAGAGAAGAAATAAGCAGAAGAATGATGGGTGCTACAATGCTAAATCCTGAAGCTGAAGCTGGCTATGGATAGTTACCTTTGGCGGAGAACTGGTTCACCACCACGTGATGAATAGCAACCTCTGCCCCTAGTGTGGGGTGCAATGTGAAGATGTGCTTCATATGCTCTTCACTTGCAGTGATGTAACTCAAGTGTAGTTGAAGTTGAAGTTGAAGTTGGCTAACATTGCACGATAATAACTATCATATTTGTTTTAATATTGTGGTATAATCGAAGCGTGAATCTTAATTTTCTTTGACTTAAATCTTTGATTTAATTCAAATTTATCTTATTTTGTAGAAAATTAACTTTAGTTTATAACTAAGTTTTTAGGAAATATACAAAAAAAATTGATATTATTTTGTAGATAAATAGGAAAAAAGTGAGAAATATTGAAAGAAACAAGTAAAAAGTTTGGTGAATTATCAAAAGAAAAGAAAAATTTTGGTTAAGTATTGGTGTTACACATGGAATCCCAACATTAAAAGTGTTTAAGTTGATTCATTTTGTCATGCTAAGCATAGATTTTCACACCAAGTACTACAATTTCAGAGGTTAATTTTTGTTATTCTTTGTCTCACACTAAGTGTAAATTTTCATGTTTAGTACCAAATACTGGCATGTCATTAACGAGAATAAACAAAATGATTTATGACCTAAAATTAAGGGATTCGAAGACATATAATTGAGGAATACTTCTTGGAGTGTGTGTGGCGGCTAGAAGGGTTTTTATGACTTTAAGATCAAATTTCTTCATCATTTTTGTTGTGCTCCATGTCTATGTGTAGTTAAGTTCATCTTTGTTGGAGTTTGATGTAAACATACTCATTCTCATGTTCACATTCTAAGTTATTATTCCTACTTATTATTCAATATTATTGCTCTTTTCTTTTCTTAATGTTTGTTATGATTTAATCTCCCTTAACTTGATTTTGTGGGTTTAAAGTGATTAGAAATGCTTGTGAATCTTTAAATTGAAGTAGAGTAGCTCATTAATGGTGTTTACCTTTATGAATGGAGTAAATATTATTGGTCATTCATAAGCTCTTGTTTTTAAAGTTGATATCGTGGTTAACTTATGCAAGGAATTGATAACCTAGTCAAAAAATTTATACTCTAACTTATAAGGAGTTATGGTTGAGTATTTTTGTGAATTGAATGATAATTTATGAACTTATAATTAGATTAAAGTTTATTTATAAGCATAAGAAAATAATTTGATGATGTTAAACCCCAATATATTTTATTGTTGTGTAAAAAATTGATTTTTGCATTCCAAGTGTTCATAAATCCTTAAGAAAGGCAAGTCAATTAGACCTAGTTGGAATTGGCGGAATTATTTGAGATTCAGGTGACAAGTGGATCTTAGGCTTCTATGGGGATACAGGTGGACGTATAATACCCAAACAAAGTTGTTAGTTACGTTCTAGGATTTGAAAATAGCTTAGAAAAGGAGATTATTATCAATGATTTATTACTATGACTCAAAGTACATATTATTTTTTATGTATCAATCTTTTTCGATTTAACATAGGTATGCAGTTCTTGTTAGTAGTATTAAGGAGTTGATAGACAAACTTAAAATATTATTTATAGACTTGCTCTTACAGAAGGTAATGTATATAGTAATTTTTTTAAGCAAAGATGAGTTGGAATTGTGGTGCTGCACAACTCGAGTCAGAAGTTCTTGGTTATTTTGAACCACCAACTTCTACCTAAGAGCACCTTGGGAGTGCTTAGATGTATCTTAAAATTAAAAATAAGTAGCAGAGTTTACAAGAATTTGTTATTAGAGTAATGTGATGTGGCAAGAAAAGTTTAAATTTTTTTAGCTCCGTTCTTTCCGCAAGCAACAGTTACAAGAAGAAGAGGGAAACCTACCAAAACCAGGTCAGAAACAAAAGGCATTGTAACGAGGAAACGCTTATCCCTTGAGGGTTTTGAAATTGAAGAATAATCGAGAAAAAGCCCCCGGAAAAATCCAAATTTTGCCTATTGGAACAGTGAAAAAGCCGGAGAACGAGAGAGACGAAACAAAAGAGAGACGTTGAGTGAGAAAGAAGGAACAAGAGAGAATGAGAGAAAGAGAGGACAAAATTATAGTATTATGCAATTTTTTAATCTTTATATTTAATTTTATTGTAATTTTTTATGATTCTTTTTTAGGTTAAATACCTCTTTTGGTCCCTTACAATGTTTTTTTATTTCAATTTAGTCCCACTTTAATTTTTGGTCTTAATTTGGTCTCTAATAATTTAAATTAGTACAATTTGGGATTTCCGTCCAAATGATTTAGACGGAGTTAACTGTTGGCCACGTGGCATCTACGTGGATGCCACGTGGACACCAAAATTATGAAAAAAACCTGAAACTAGAACGGCCCGTTCTGATTTTAGAACGGTCCGTTCTACTTTTAGAACGGGTCGTTCTGCTTTTAGAACGGGTCGTTCTGCTTTTAGAACGGGTCGTTCTGCTTTTAGAACGGACCGTTCTGAATTCAGAACGGCCCGTTCCAGAACGCCATGATTTTTATTGTATTTTTTTTATTATATCTATATTAATAAATATATAATAAATAAAAAATAAAATAAATTAATATTCATTTGTGAATAAAACTATAAAAAAAATCAAATAAGATAAGACCTTCCAAAATATTTTTTTAATTTGAATTTATCAAGTTCAAAATCTTGACTAAAATGCCGCAATGTATTTCAAAAATTGAAAATAAAATTCAGGGTTTAGGGGTACCTCCTCAAGAACAAGTTGTTATTGTTGGGGTACATCGTCAATGACTTCAAGGAAAAACACTGTTTCGTTTTATCCTTGATTGTATAGTGTCAATTTGGTAATAAGTGGTTCACTCCAGTTTGACTAACAATGAAATAAAACTTGTTACCATTGTCCTTAGTGATACACTGCATCATCGTTAATGATATACTGTATAGCCCAAATTTTTAGCAATTGAAGTTATTAATCCTCATTAACAATATTACCAAATCTAGTGTTTGAAATGCTTTGTATTTTAGTTTTTTGCGCACGAAATTTTTTACCAGAACGGCCCGTTCTAGTTCCAGGTGTATTCAAGTATTTTTTGATCCACCTACGTGGCATCCACCTGGCATCCACGTGACCACCAGTTAACTTCGTTTAAATCATTTAGACGGAAGTCCCAAATTGGAACGATTTAAATTATTGGGGACCAAATTGAGACATAAAATTAAAGTGAGACTAAATTGAAACAAAAAAATATTATAAGGGACCAAAAGAAGTATTTAACCTTCTTTTTATTATGTATTTTTTTTTCTTATTGTATTTTTTTATTATGTAATTTTTTTATTTATATTTATATATTATTCATAATAATTAATTTTTTAAAAAAATTATCAAAAAATTTAGTGTGAGTTGTTAAAAGGTATAGTATGAGTTGTAAAAAGTGGAGGTGCTTATAAGTAATTCTTATTGAATCAAAAATTATAAAAATATAATATAAGTTACTTATAAGTGACGTGGCACAGTAAGACCTGTTTAAAATAAATGAGAATTATTTACAAGCAACTCTTATTATAGTTGCTCTAATACAAATCGAATGACATTTCTAATGTTACGATATTTTTTCTATCTCCATTTACCTTAAAAAAAAAGGTAAGTATCAATACTAGATTTAAATGACAATAAATTAAACTCCTCCCAACACATTAGGCTATTATGATTAGATTTTACCTGTATTGCTATTGTGCTAGACGGGAAAAATTCTCACAATTAAACAAAAACATTTTTACATGAATATTAAGATAAAAAAAAAAAAAAAGAGGTGAATAAATTCGTAAGAGTTTAATATGTATAAATTCTCGATGCATGTAAAATTTTCTCAATTCATAAGGCCTTGTACCTACAAAGGGGGATTAAAAGTTCATTTCATCGTCTTGAAAGTTAGAATTACCAACGAGACGTTAATCCTTTCTATAATCATAATCACACTTTTATGTATTGAATTGCGTCATTGCATTCTAAATGGAAGAAAATATTCGTAATAACTCCATTCATCTGACAACAATTTGTATCATATGACATTACTGCTAAATTATCAAATTTACAGTGGCAAAACAACGTAGTTATGTAACACAATTTGTACAGATATCTCCAAATCATTTGCAGACCAAGATCAAGGGTATAGCCACTCCACATATTTCTCCATATACATAGACTTCAGAACTCCACATCATATAATTTGAAGATATCTAATAGAATTGTTTATTAGTATTTCTTTTGGTGTTGACGATGAACACATTATTCATAGAGAAGAAAAAATAGGGACACCTGGTAAGGTGGCTCCAAAATCGACAATGAAATTGTTGCCTGTGACATACTCTGAAGAATCATGAATTAGATAACGAGCAAGCGATGTTAATGCTGGATCCGAAGTACCTAGTTTTCTCAAAGGTATTATTTTCTTGACCACGTCATTCAGCCAATCTTTTTGCATTAAATTTTCAGTGATTTCAGATTTGAAAATTCCAGGTGATATGGAATTCACTCTAATTTTGTGCTTCCCCAATTCCAAAGCCATGACCTGTGAAAATACCATTACACAAGTTAATGATATCAATATGCTGTTGTTTAATCAATATGAACATAATTAACAAAATCTTAACCTGCTTCGAATTTGTGCATGACCCTATCATATTGAACATTTTGTTGAGTATAGCATATCTAGAGCACAATGCCATAAGTAACTTTATATCCAATTGTGAGAATCCAAAGATAGTTTAGACGTACTGGGAAGGTTTACTATGTACCTTTTTCTCACTGGAATATTAAGGGCAACAATAAATGAAGTTTGATTTCAGTACCTTACCTCTAATGCAAACGAGTAATCCTCCATGCAGGTGGATGAAAAGCTAACTAAAATTTCTAATGCAAGTTTCTTATACTAATATTTCAGAGATGCAGTGTGACTTATCTTTGTTAAGTTACAATAGTTGGAGGATAGGAGTAGATATTTGATCTTCTAAGCAGATTATACATGAACAGACAGAGGATATTAATTTTCCCTAGTATTGACAGCATTTCTTTTTCATTTCACGGTGGTGAAAACATGATTGACTTATCTTTATTTTTGTCAACCTGAATCCTATTTTTTACTCACAGAAAGAAAACAAAATTACCACTGCGCCATTGACGAATGTTGGAAATTGTATTCTCTTGTATCACATGATGAAATGCATTTAGAACTTAAGGGTATTAGTGTCTAGGAAGTTGTATTCAAAATATTATCCTAGGATATTTTGTCCACGAAGTCTATTAAAAGACTACTTAAATTAGTGATATGCAGAATCATTGTATCACTACATTGTACTGAATGAAAGAAAGCTTTTTATTCTCTAAGTTCTCTCTAAATTCAACTTGGTATCAGAGTGGCACCATCCACTATGACTTGTCCTGCCACATTTCCACCATTAACAAGTTCCCTTTAAATTTGAGACTCATTTATTTTCATGTATTTTCTCTCTACTGATTTCCTCACCGTGTTTTCAAACATTATAAAACACAAATTACATCCATTCTATCTCTCCCAAGTTTTTTCTTTGTTAATATTTTATGTCTCTGCTGTGTTGTCTCTAGTGGCACATTCAGTCATTACTTCAGTTCAACCATCATTGCTGCTGTCCCCTGCCACCAGAAAAAAATTCAGCAACTTTTTGACACCCTTTTCCAGCTAGCTGTCACTGCAGGCTACTTGTCACTTTCCAGACCCTCTTTCCAGCAACCTTCAGCGACGACTCTCGTGATTTTCCATCACCTTCCAGCGATCTACAACTGCCATCAACTTTGCAGACAATTTTTCAGTGAATTGAAGCAGTTGTTGAGTATTCTTTCGAGACTTTCCAATGAACTCTAGCAATTTCCCTTTGCATCAACAATTTAACATCCAGCTTCATCAGCTGTGTCAATTTCCAATTTCCAATTTCATCAATTTTAGCTGCTTCCATTTTCAATTGTCAATTCCCAGTTCGTCCATTTTTAGCTATGTCAATATCTATTTGCAGTTAATGGTTGGTCTAATCATGCCCTATGTTGCCTTTTCAGTTGTGTTTAGTGGATATTATATTATAAAAAAGGGAGAAGATTTATTTGTAACAAGCTTAAAGATTTGTAAGCTTTCGCTGGAGGGGGAATGCTGGAAACAGTATTCGTTAATGTATTTAGTACTCATGGGTATTAGGAAGTTGCATTCAATTAATATTATCCAGGAAAATAGTCGCCACTGAGTCTATTAAAAGACTTTATATGAATAATATGCAGAACATTTGTACTACTACATTCTACTGAATTTAAAAAAAAAGCTTTTTATTCTCTGTTAGGATTCAACTGCAACCCACATTGAAATTATGGGATTCTTAAGTAGGATTTATATATAATACCTTGGATTCTCTAACTACAATAGTTAGTTTTTGTGGCATAGTTCTCTCAAAGTTCTTGCCAATTTGTATCACAATCTTCCACCATATCTCTCATTGCAGTGTTCACCTGGGACTTGTGAAAGCGCTAGTGAACAACATGTCCACATGAGTGTCGGGGTTACAAATCAGTTTTAAAGAGTTGAGTTGAACCAAAATCCACTTTTTTAGGAGGCTCTAATTGCAAGGTATGAGAATTGAAAGTATGCGATTCTAATGTGGGGTTTATAGGAACTTGGACTCTCCAACTACAACTGCTAGCTTTTGTGGTGAGGTTCTCCCAAGATTTTTATCATTCTTTAAGTTCTCTCTTTCCCCCTATATTCTTCTCCTTTAAATTCAACAATGAAGACTTGCACAAATTTCACTGTCATGTCATGAATGATGGTATCAATTGTTGTTTTGTGTGTTACTCCTTCATTTGTCAACCTAAAAGGACTGGTACATGGACATCCGAATATTGTTTTCACAACATCTTCCATGGCATATTTTTTATTACAGCTGGAATGTCTATTCAGACAACATTTGACAACATGAAGCAGCATTGACTAAGATATCAGTGACAAGAATTTGATATTCATCTTTTGGTATTTTTGTATTAAAATTCATAAAATATATGCATTCTCAAGGTTGGTCAATCTTCCACAAGTACAATGTTCGACATCTAGTTTACATATCTAGTAGTTCATATAAGCATGATTTCTAAAAGCCTGTATATTTCTCCTTTAACTTTAAGAACCACTTCTAGTACAAACCAAGCTGGCTGTTTAGTTGGTCAATATCTGACATTCAAACGCTAGACTGACTCAAGACATGGACCAGGCATTTTTCATAATAAACCGAAGTGGAACAACATCTCAATTCCATCATAAGGTCAACCCTTCTAACTGAAATTTAACGAGATCAATTTTTTCATAACTTTAGATATTCCTGTTGTTTCCCTAGGTTTACTTCTTCAGTAGGAACCCGTCTTCCTCAATAGCATAGTCAAAGTTTTTCTATCTAGTTCCCCAACCATTCCATCAAGAATGTATGTTGACACTTCGTTGTTCTTCAACAAACATTCCCACAACAAATGAAAACCTTAACCTCCCTTTTCTAATACATAAATTCTGACAAACTGTAGGTTTAAATGTTTTACTTATAAGTCAAAATGTTAATAGCTTTATTATTTATGTTTGGGAAGCATTCTATCTATGGTACAATAAATAACCCATTGATATTTTTCATTAGCATATTCCATTCTGTTTTCAGATTATTGTTAGCTGATTGATATGGATGAATCATCATGTGCATCAAGATCGCTATGTAATTCATCAACAAGTTAGACACAACCTTAACCTTTTCCAGCAACCATTCTTTTGTAGTAAGAATTTGACAGAGTCATAGGATAAATTTGACAACATCATCATCAATATTTTCTACACTTTTCCACAGTTCCCGCTCTTCAATGATAGTAGTAGCCCCAGAGTCAAAACTTTAATCACATGGATGTCCATAGGGGCTTGCTACCTAGCTTCACCAAATATCGTATTGATGTCCATAGTGTGGGGTTTCAGCATATCATATTTCCAACACCAACAATGTTTGAATGTCTGCTAGAGCCCTTTTCCACTTGCTTCATAACTTCAGGGTTTTCAACAAGTAACAATTAAATGCCAGCATTTGAGCCCTAATAACTCCAATGTTGTCACTGAGAACCATGAAAATGTCTGTTTTCAGTCCTCCACTTATTTCAGCAACTTTGTCACTACTTCAATTCTAATACTAGTGCTTATTTTATTGAGACCAACAAATGCAACAGTGTCATCAGATTACAGTTTTGCTGGTAACACTCACATAAACTCGCCTTGATTTTGGTAGTGCACACAGATTACTTCCCATGTTTGATTGGATAGTCAGCCTGTTCTAAACAAAAAAAGACTGCATATGTTCTCTGTAGAACGTACTCACCTTTCTCTGTTTTGCCTATCATAATCTTGATTCTTATACTTTTCGTTATATTTCATTGATCAAGTCAAATTATTAAGAAACCCAAAGAAAATCTAAGATGGCATTTAAAAGGGGGTTTGGTTTTAATAAAAATCATGTCAAATAATATTTACCTTAGTCAGCATGTTGACTCCTGCCTTTGAAGATGCATAAGCAGCAGCTCCAGGCAATTGCCCCCGATTTAAACCAGCAACTGAAGAAATATTAATAATTGATCCTTTAATCTGGGCATCACACATGCGTTTACATACATATTTTGACACCAACCAACAACCAGTTAGGTTAGTCTTGAAAACATGATCCCAATCCTCCTCGGACAACTTCAAGGGTGATTTAACACTCCCTACACAATAAAAAAAAATAGGAAACATTAGTACAATTTTTAGGAAGCAACCAAGAGTATCAATCTTTCAAACCATTCAGATAGGCAATTATACTACGTCCTCAATGTTAGAAATAAACAAAATCATTTCTTCTTATTACAATATTACAGTTACAATTTGGGGATTTTTTGTTCTAGACAGAGGAGTACTCTTCTAGACAGAGTATCTTTTTCTCTTTTGATTACAAAATTAAAAGTTAACTATGTTCATTAATCCTGCATTATTAGTTTATACTAAATACCAACTCTAATTTCTTAACTTAGTGGGAGACTTTCCTTTGCCCAAAACAAGAGTTTATATTAATATTATTTTAATTGATTCAAAACATGAAACTTGTTTGATTATATTCATCTATAAGAAAACTATGGAACTAAATTAATAATTGAATTCAAATAAGTTATAAACACAGTGAAAATAACATGAAAAGTGAATTCGAGCAATAGAAAAACGGAAAAATCTAATATAGAGTTCTTTTTTAATTGCTTGTAAGACTCACTCTTCAAATGTTTGTGGGTATTTTTGGTTAATTGGATTCCATAATTTTCATAAGCAAGTAGATATAATGAAATAAATTTCATATCTTCAATATGTGAAAAAGGATTCAGAACTGATTCCCAAAATCGAAAAAGGTTACTATTTCAGCAGGGCAACATTATTTCAACTCTAAATTAAAAGAACAAAATACATCTTTTAAAAGATAAAACAACAAAAAATTTCTATAGCAAGAGAAAGGACCAAAAATATTTTAGCCAAAAATAAATAACTAAAAATAATCGAATATCACACGGTAATTTAAGTCTTAACAGTTTTACAAAAATATTTTATTTTACTCTTACACAAACCATTTTTTTACCCTCTATAATTGTATAGAATTTACTTTTCAGTAAAACAACAGGGACTAAAAAAAACATGTATAGCAACTTATATAGAGCGTTTTTAACAAGGATTCAATGGTTGTGAAGAATAGTCTTACACAGTGAAACAATTAAAAAAATATATATCAAACTATACAGACCAAAAGTAAAATAAGCCTAATTTCTTATTGTTACAATAACATAAGCCTAATTTAACAGAACTAAATTAAAAAATGGCATATATTACATTACGGGAACCGTATAAAAGTAGAAAAAATTGGAGTGGAATTAATCACCTCTGACACCAGCGTTGTTAATCAAGCAATCAATGCGTCCAAAGGCGTCCCAGGCCTTCTGCACAGCCTCATCGATGGCGGGGCCATCGGCGGCGACGTCGATCTCCACGGCGACCGCGCGGCAGTTTCCGGCGGGCGAGGGCCAGAGTCGGTTGATTTGTTGGCAGAGCGAAGTGAGGCGATGACGGCGGCGAGCGGCGGCGACGACGTAGCAGCCGGCCTTGGCGAGGTCGATGCAAAAGTCTCGGCCGAGCCCCGCGGAAGCACCCGTCACCAAAACGACTTTGTCGTTTAGGTTCTGCCATGGCTCCAGCGCTTTTTCCTCTCCCCTCACGCTCATTTGTTTCCAGACTCGCGAATCTCTCTCTTTATTGCTCCTTCCGAAGTGTAGTCAACGTGTTACTCCCTCTCTCCCTTGGAAGGAAAAATACACATGATGTTAACTTTTTAATATTTTGATTTCTCAATCTCCTTTGGCCTGTTCGTCTAGCTCGCGACCCTATTAGGCCAAATGGATTAGGGTGTGCTCGTCTAGCTCGTGAGCCTATTAGACCAAATCGATTAGGATGCACTCGCTCGCTAATCCTTTTTTATTTTTTATTTATTTTATTTATTTTATTTATTATTTTTAATGTAATATTAATTAAATTAATTTATATTTATTTTATATATAATCTGTGATTTATTATATAATAAATTTTTTTTTATATATATATATTTGATTTATTTTATTATATTTAATTTGATTTTTTTATTATTTAATTACATCAATTTATATAAGTCTTTTAGATATTGAAAAAAATACATATCGGAAGAATAACTCAAGATAAATATATAAACATTTTTTCTTCTTTTTGTTAGTCCAGCTTTAGTCAAGACATGCCAAGATTTATGACTTGTTTTTTTTTTATAAATTAGCCTAGTTTGACCCATTTTTGACAGGCTAATGACATGTCAACATTGAACAGGATAGATTGATCCATTTTGTTATTTCTACTTTTGACTAGGGGATGTTAAACTAAACTAAACTACATGTTAAATATACTAAATTATAAAAGTAGTTCATCTAAATTGAACTAAATTATAAAATAGTTCAGAAAAATTATTTTCTAATTTAGTAAACTATAGTTCTAATAGTTTAAACTACATTATAATTTAAATTAAACTAAATTTTTTTAATTATAAATTTAACTAAGCTACAATATAGAAAATACTTTTTATTTCAAATTAAATCTTATTCTCAAACTTATACTAATAAATTAAATTGTGTACAATATAGTTTAATTTGGAAAAACTAAAACCAAAATTGTTTTCCAAAAGCTACTTATAAAAACTAAGGTAAAATAGTTCAATTTCACTTAAAGAAGTAACTATGGAACCACTAATCAATGTTCCATCTCCTTGAATTATATTTTGTATTAAATTAAACTATTTTTGTACTCTAAATCAAACTTTTTCTTATGATTTGAATTGAACGAAACAAATTTTGATAGTATTTTAGTTTTTAAAACCAAACTTAAGTTCAATTTATTTTTTATAAAAATTAGTTAAATATTTTTTATAATCTAGTTCAATTTAGTTTTCTAGTAGTTTAGTTTGAAATAATTTTTTTGAACCTTATCAATTGGTAAGGATTTTGTTTAAATTAATCAATTCTCTCGAGCTTTGGATTTGGTTTGGAAAGGATTGGTGGAGTACCAAGTCGTTCTTTAAGCAGTTGAAAGGCCTTCTCGCAATCTTTAGACCAGTGAAACCTACTCGCCTTTCTCAACAAACCAATGATGGGTTTACCAGTTTCGACCATGCATGGGAGAAAACGTGATAAGGACATCAGCTGACCAACTAACCTTTGAATTTCTTTGATGTTCTTCGGGCTCTTCATATCTAGGATAGCTTGGCATTTTCTGGGTTTGCTTCAATCCCATGTGTTGAGAGCATGAAACCCAAAAATTTTCTACCCAATACACTAAAAACATTTTTCTGGGTTAAGCCTTATGTGGTGTCTTTGAAGTTCTCGAAACACTTTTGTTAGGTCAGCAATGTGTGTAAGAATGTCGTCAGATTTTACGACCATGTCATCCACATACACCTCCATATTTTTCACTATTTGATTCTTAAAATTTTTATCCATAAGTCTTTGAAACATAACGCTAGTGTTTTTCAGTCTAAATGACATCACCTGGTAACAGTAATTTGTAGAATTTGTGACGAAGCAGTTTTGTCTTCATCTTACGGATGCATTTGTATCAGATTATATCCGAAGTACGCATCAAGGAATGTCAACATTTTATAGTTGGCAGCTCTATGCATCCTTGGGGCATGCCTTGTTTAAGTTAGAATAATCTATACACATTTGCCACTTCCCATTTGGTTTCTTAACCATGACCATGATTGTTAGCCAGTGGTGTAATGGACCCCTCAAATAAATCGAGAATCTAGGAGCTTGGGGACTTTGGCTTCAATGGTCGATTCTCTCTCATTTCCCATCTTTCATTTTCTCTAGGCAATCGATTTAGCTTCTTTACAAATCATAAGCCTATGGCAAAGAAAGTTGGGGTCAATTCCAGGCATTTTGGAGGGACACCACGCAAACAAGCCCCTATTTTTTATGATCACGCTACTTATAGTGGTCCTATCTTCCTTGGAAAAATTGGTCCCTATATAAGTAACCTGAAATCGAATTGATCCCACACACCATAATTGTTTATCTTTGATGGGTTCCACCTATTCGTCTTATTACTCCATCCGAGGATCGAGATCTAAGATGGGTGGTGGATATTGCATTTGGTACTACAAGAAAAATGCAAATTTTTGACAGACATAATTCGTCGGTAAAAGGGAATTTTCGACGAACATATATAATTTGTCGGGAAAAAAAATGTCAAAAAAAATTTAATCCGTCGAAATTTTTTTGAAAATCTTTATGTGATTCCAACGAATAAATCTGTCGGAAAATTTTTGTTTAATTTAATAAATTTATTAATATAACACCCCTTATATTTGGTCTCTTAAGTATTCTATTTCTCGACACTTCACTTTTCAGTGTGTTTTTATTCTTACTTGCACAATTTTTAAGAAACTTCCCAAAAGGTCACCCATCCCTATATTACTCTAAGTCAAGGACGCATAACTGTGGAGTTCTGATGAGATAAGCTACCGAAAAATAGATGCATGTTGTTAGTGTAGGTATAACAAATTAATTCATGTAAGTCATCTTCAACTATACAATCTCATACTTGTACTATCTCTGAATCCCTCTCATTCTAGTGTGTTCGGACTATTATAAAAATATAATAATATATATAATAATTATATTACCAATAATAATTATATTATATTTAATTAATCTTTATTTATATATATACTTACTTTTATAATTAAGAATCTACTTATTTCTATTTAAAATTAATATTATGATACAATTTAAATTATTTATTATAAATTTAAAAGTTTAAATAATAATTTATATATTTAAGAATCTACTTATCTCCGAATTGTAATGCGTGACGACACATAAGTTGTTGATGAGTTGATTTTGTGTTGATGTAAGTTGTATATATGTTGTGTTGTGAAGTTATGGTTGAGTTGTGTGTTATTATGTGTTGTATGTTGACTTGTTAGGATGATGATAATGTTGTTGTGTTGTAAGTTGCTTATATATATATATGTTGATTCTTTTCATTAGCTTACCCTTACAGTTTTCATATGGAGTGGACTGCGATGATCATACAATGTATAAGAGCAGGGCAGGGATTGACTATTGTGAGCGGTTGGAGGCCACTTGGTGGTAGGAGCTGGAATAGATAATCTTTTTGTAGCCTATCTTGGAGTAGCATTTTGTTGGCAATGTATATATTTATTTGGCCTATTGAACCTTTATGGTTGGATAGATGTGTATATTTACTTATTATACTACTTAGTATATATATTCTAGTGGTGTGTGGTATTGCTTTGTAGTGTAATGATCATGACAGATCGTTACACTTATAATTAAAGAAACTTATAAGTTCATCAAATATCTTACTAAAAAGCACTTTTAATATACTAATTTATTACATATTTGCTCTACACATTGATTATTTTATAAATTAATAAAAAAACAATTATCTCAATAAATTAAATATGTATTATATTGTTTATTTACTTATAAGTTATAACATGTGCAAAAATAGTCGAGTCACTCGTGCAAAGTGAGGAGTATCGCACTACTTCAACAAATAAAGAACATTCTATCATGCATTAGAAAATTAATATGAAATGTAAAGGGTTGACCACGAATTTAACAATAATATTATAGCAGAACTCTGAATAAAATGTTCGAAACAAATTTATAATTTCCTATTACGTAGGAATTTGTTTTGCATATGTACAACCATGAAATAACACAGTATACAAATGAAAAATAATCCCTGATCGTGACATTCAGGTCAAATGAAAAATAATCCCTGATCATGACATTCAAGTCAAATGAAAAATAATCCATAATCTATCGAGAGATATACTTTTCTGAGGAGGGGTTAGAGAAGGAGTGGGCAGTGAGCCAGTGACAGAGAAGGTGCCAAAATGTAAAATTTCTCTTTCTTATTTCTGTTTTAATTAATTAAATAATTTAATAATTCATTTTTGGTCTTTTAGCGGGTGTTTCTAAAAACTGGAGTGTACAAAAAAAAAAATCAGGTAAGGTGGGGGTTAGGATTTTGAGACAATTCAGAAAAGAGAAACGAAAAATGAAAAAGTTTCATCCATCCTGTAAGGACTGCAGGGCCCATATTACTTGATTCATCTACAGGCTCAATGACCACTTCTCATACAAGTCACACTGTAGGCCAGAACCAAACAGTTGCATCAGATGAGGACTATGAGGAGAGCACCAAAAGGGTTCCACGCCAGCCACGTTACCTCGAGGACTTTGTGGTCACGTCCTCCCGTAAAAAGGGGAAAACCGTTAGGAAGCAATAATTGATATTATTCCTAGTATTTCTGTTTTTATTATTTTTGCAAATGCTTAGTTACTGCAAGGTTGTTACCAAGTGCATATATAGCACGGTATTGTAGTGAAAAGGGGAGGAAAACATTTGAGAAAAGTATTCCCATTCTGCACTCATTCTCTCTTTTCTGATATTCTTCTATTATGTCATTTTCTGTCACGATCAACCTCTTTCATTTGGAACTTTCATTGACCCTTACTCCATGGCCGAATCTCCTTATGATGAGCTCACCAAACTTAACGTCAAACTTGAACAATTACTCCTTTCCCATGCCAACCTATCCAACACCTTCCATGATATAGCCATCCGCACAACCGTCCTAGAATCTCAGCCGCCTACCCATCCACACCCCCCGTCCCGACCACTCAAATTTGACCTCCCCACCTTTGATGGCTCTGATGCTCTTGGCTGGATCTTCAAGGTCAATCAATTCTTTGATTATCATCAGACCCCTATTGATTAGCGCATCCAGATTTCTTCCTTCTACCTTGAAGGCCAAGCCCTTGCTTGGTTCCAGTGGATGTTCAACAATGGTTTGTTGTCATCTTGGGACTC